AATAAATACTAAAATACCATTGGTAAAAAGGATATGAAAATGTTTGAAATTGTAAAACTTACAAGGGTTTTAGCTGACTGCGTGCGACTGCTACTTAAGTCTACTTTACAACTGTCATAAAAGAAGGGTGATTTTTCATGTAAAGATTKATGTSCCCTTAAACGATGACTGGTTGAATGAATTGTTAAGCTGAAAATGACTGCTTATCCACAGTTTACTTTGACTTACTGTGAATTATCAAGGATTTCAATCTTAGGTGTCTAATTGCTATGTCCCGCTTATCGTGACCAGGGATATAGCCATTAATATCTCTCCTGGCTAATAACGATTGTTATATAAGCACAATTACTGAGGATTACTAGTCCGTGATTACAGTTTACTTTTATAGAAATCATAATCACCACGCATGTAATTGAAACTTTGCCAATCGTGATGCACTATTAGATTAATAGTTCTGAAAGCATATGGCATCATAAGAGTTTTAGAATGAAGTGATAATTAAGTTTAATGCTGTAGACGAGCTGGTAAGATCATTAATCAAGCAAGATTCTGACAGTATCAGTACATTAGAAGTATACTTTTCCCTCATTTAGAAATAAAAATTCCTCTTTTGGTAAAAGAAACCCTAGAACGAAGTGAGAGCTTTAAACGTGTTCAAAAAGAACACTTGATCTCCTTCGAGTACATCTTGTTTTACCATTATCCATGAAAGCTTTTAAAAGAGTCAAAACAAGACGGGGTTGCTTACCAAAAAGAGAGTTAACACCTGCACAAGCTGCAATTAACACTTAATATACTCAGTGCGGCTTCGAGAACAAATGATCAGGCTTCACTGGACAACCAATTCAGAGTTTACACAAAAGATCCGATAGGATCAATTAATGTTCGCGCGTTGCAGATCTGTATAAGTCACGATAGAGTTTATTGATGACATCAAGGTAATACCACCAACTTGTATAGTATATTATAACAGAAAATGAACAACGTCGATAAAGAAATTGCACTTAAAGTGCACCGGGTAATTGCGGTAATTACAAACATTGCAAGATCTAGAAAGGTTCCCCCATAAAGTACATTTTAATTTATCAATCTAAACTACTAACACTGCTATTAAAAGAACGAATATTGCGTGTGTTCTTGATCTAAACTATACAACTGTATTATAGTAAAGATGCACTGAGGATAAAGCAAGATTCACGAACAGTGGTCAGATGAGTAAAGCATACATAGTGTTTGTGAGTTTGCCTAGAGGACAGGTCTTTAAGAATAAATTATATTAATAATGTGTTAGTAGAATAAAGACACCGGGCACCTGCATCATTTATAACCTTACCGAATTCTGTTAGATCCGATACTACAATTGATCACTAAATCACGGATCGTAACGTACCGTATCACATCGCAACTTATCATCATCACAACGTATCAATCGTACGAATCGACACATCGGTGTCGTACGGTATCAAATCATATCGCACTGTTATCGATACCTATCGTAACCAAATATGGTTATAGCACCGGTGTCGCTAACGACACGGATCGACAAATGTCGATCGTAATTACGAATTGCTAGCATTGTGGTATCGAAACGTACCAGTTTCACACTGTATAGTCAGCTCTTCGTGTCATGTCGAAGAGCATGGACACATATCGTAGTATCAACTCTTCGTGCCATGTCGAAGAGCATGGACACATATCGTAATCGTGTCGTAAAGTGACGTACCTATATCGTAGTGTCTTAACTCGTATCGTGTGGTGTCGACGTATAAAATCGAAACTCCAGACTTATTTCATCGCAACGTAACGTATCATAATATCAAGTAAACGCTTTTCCGGCAATATTTATGTATGACACAGTAGTAACGCTAAACATATAAATGTCAGTACCGATTTTTTTTGGTTTGTTTTTTCTTTTCTTTTTCTTCTTCTTCTTCTTTTTTTTTTTTTTTTTTTTTTTTTTTTTTTTTCTTCGGAGCTTCTTCAGTACTGCATTACTGTGCTTTGTATAACGAAAACACGTGCAAACGTAATCATTATAGACAAAAAATACTAGTAAAAGAAAAAAAGTAATACTGACATTCACACAGCTAAACGTATCTTACAAACGCAGGAAAGAAACTCAAAGTAAGAAAGCTTTACAAACGAAACATGTCAAAATCAAAAGTTCTTTAGCTATCATTTTMAAATGTCATTTACACAATTCCTGAATCAATAAATCACATAGGGAATTTAATGTGAAGTTGACGGTTTTTTGATTTGCTTTGTGTAGTAAAAAATACAATTGCGGGTGACTACTCCTTGTGAGTGAAAGCTTGGCGGAAACAGCGAATTTCTTTGTGTGCATTGTTTCCATTCCTATGATATAAGTTTAACGAATTTAATAATTATTGCAAGTTGAGCATGGAGCGTGTGAAGAAATGTTTGATCAAGAGAACATTTGATCAATAGAACGTTTGATCAATGAGCTTCACATCGAAAGAAATCTGAGAGGAGAGTGTGATTATAAGTTTGAATAGTCCACAATGAAGGTTTGTTCAAGTAATTACTTCAAAAGCAACGTTCACTAGTCAAAAGAACCTTTCATCCGGGAAGTATTGTTATTGAGGAGGAATATTTGATCAAGTGAAAATTTTAAGGAGAGAAGCAAATATGTCAGAGATGGAGTGACACAAACACGTGATCGAACTAAGCCACAAAAACGTGGTTCGAAGACGCCCACTGTTAACTGTGTACACACTGACTGTATAATAACAAATATCGTACATGAAAATACAATTTCTTGTACATGTTATGAGCCTTTCGACTAACATGAGAGGTGAAGCAGGATTTTTTTGTGAAGGTCTTTTGTCTGGAACGTACAAAAGGTGTTCTTATTAGTCTATTGTTGACTAACGGTAAGGTTTTGTACCAAGGGTTTTTATAACAAGTTCACTACAAAAAAGCTGACATAAAGAAGTTCAAGAACAGAACAAAAGCCTTGATCTATGAAGCCTTGATCAGTTGTTCTCGAAGACCTAATCGGGTAAATGAAGTGGTAATGCATTGTTCGTTAATTCACACAAGATATATAGTGAACCTGCAGCGTTTACGAAATACTGTTCTGTGCCCAAAAAAAAGTGATTGTAAGTTGGCAGAGGGGAAGTCTTTGAGGTCGATTAAGAGTAAATTCCATGTAATAACGCGATAATTAAAAACTAATCAGACTTAATGTTGATTCAAATGAAATTCATCCTCTCTTAAAGTGGTGCTGCACACAAAAGAGCACGTGTCGAAGTTAGTGTGCAAACATGGTCATGTCAACAGTATGCTTGGTAGGTTTCTGTAAAGAGTCAAATACTAGCCTTAAATCACGATTTGTTTCGTGAAAACACCTAGTTATCAATGACAGTAAGGTCTGACAAAAGGACTTATTAGACGTCCTTAAGGTAGAATAATAGACCATATGATGTAATTATAAACTCACGTTGACAGGCAATAGTCTACCTAAACACATGTATATTAGAACAATGTTTCACCTAAAGCAATCTTATAAAACTGAGATTTACATCATTACAAAAGGGTATTAAATCCATACCACAGATTATGAACAGAAGGACTATATTACATTCCAGTTTATCGCTTGTTGTTATGACTTCACTACTGGGGGGATTATTATCTCCATAGCAAACCATACAACAAGTGCCGAACAAAAAGGTTTCACAGTCACTGAAAGGATTGTTATCATACAAAACCGTTTATAGTCTATAAATATATCATGTACGATAATGGACTAATAAACCCTGCTCGCCACAAAAGAACCCAACAAAAGACTGACAAGCATTGCAGACAAATAGTCTTAAAGGACAACCACTGTTGATATCTACCCGACACATTTGTTATATCAGTAAGATACGACACAAAGAATGACGCATTTCTCTTGGACGGCAAACAAGAAAGCGTGAGGTCCTTTTCAAGATTCCTTTGAGTGAACTTGGCCGCTTAAAAGGTCGCTCAATTAATTACAACAGAGAGATAAAAAGATTTGCTTTTTTCTGTGAATTCGCACAAATTTGAAATCTGGTTTACACTTGTTAAGTAATTATCACGACAATCGAGGATTATCAACGACTAATATAGTGTTGCGATGGGAGTATAAATGAGTGTGAATAAGTTGTATTAACTGCTCGTACAGGAAACATATTCACACTTTTATTTCTTGCTAACTCAAAGGCTCAAGTCTCATTGTAACAAAATATAAAATGAGCAAATTAAGGAATGAATGACCAAATAAACCAGTTATTGGAATTGCTTTTCCCAATAAAAATACAAAAAGTGAGTATAGTTTTCTATATACGACAAAAAGGCTCTCAAAAACTTATTAACAAAATGGTTACGAAGACAGAGCCTGATCTTTTTACCGTGATGAAAACAACTTTTTCCGGCAATTTCCACACGTTTTACTACAAGATGTTTGATATGACAGCCTCATGTGAACTATATAACAGCTTTTAAGTTACCGCAAAACTGTTCTGTGAGCTAAGTTAAGAGGTTTCTCGACAAGATACTTATTGTGACATGAGCACGTTCTTGCGTGATTTAATATATAAAAGAGCTTCACATAAAGGTAAATAATACTTGGATGGCTTTCTTTCTCATTTCGTAAATACTAACAAAGATAGTATTGTGAACCTAAACAAAGATATTACGTGAAGAATAATAACCTTGTATTATACAAGATGTTATAATTTAAGAGTTCTTATAACTAATCTTATACAATGGAGCAGAAATTGACGATTATTTTGAACCAGTTTGATCAATATTCAGTGACAGAAAACCTTTCTTCAAAATTGACAGATATCACAAAATTCAGTGAGTTGGCAAGTGCACAATTTATTTTTCTAAGTTGGTAAAACTTTGCATGATTCGTTGATGATCAAGGGTTTTTAAATAATAATTTCGCAAACRAGCCCAGGCTGGAAGATTTGATGACGTCCTATGATGACGTCACAAGTCACGCARCCATATTGACCRAAGATACAATGTCCGCTAATAAAGTGATACTATGGTCGAGTTTAGTGAGCATACTTGGCTATCTTGTTTATCAGGAGCTTGCCTTTATTACTGATCGCTTTTTGGTGCAGGTTTATATACCTGTAAAGCGATCTGATGTGTTTAGTGTTTTAGCAAAGCCAGAATTAACTCCTAAATTTCATCCCTTATGGTGAGTCTATTTACGAGGGACATCGATTTTAGATTTAAAACTTATTAAGATTTATATGCAATGATAATCAGTCCATTGATGAGCAACTTTTAACCTTTGCAAAGTATGAATTATGAGMTCTTGCTCTAGCGTGACACACACCATGGGAAGGGGGGCAACTCAGAATTCTAACCCCTTGCTTTCCCATAATGCTACAGTCTCAGTTAAAAAGGGCGACTTGAAACGAGACTGGGGGAATGCACAGTTTTATGAAAAAATGTAAAGTTGTTAATGTTATGCTTTCTTTTAAAAGCTATGGTATTTCAAATTCTGGGAAATCTTACCATATTTGTCATAATTTTATAGTATAAATTTAAGCCTTATTTCTTTACCAGTCACCAGAAATGCCAATATTAAGTGAATGTATATTCTCTAATTCCAGCATAAGTGTTGGCAACATCATCAAATCACAAGATGACAAAGGACATGATGTTGTTCAGTATATTTTCTCTGAAAGGATMTCTCTATTGGGATTTTCTCACAGTTTGACTGATACAATTATCTCTTCTCCTGTCAACCTTACAGTGGTACCACAAGATTMTGAACTCTACAATGATCTCAGTGTATTGGGTGGAGTTTTGATAATCAGACAAAAGTGGAAGCTGTCTGATTCTGGAGATGGAATCAAAGATGAAACATTGGTAGAAAATCACTTTGAATTCACTACCAGACAATGTTTTGCAAGATTTGTTAAATATACAGCTGTAGATGCTCACAGAAGATTTCTAGAAAATCTTAAACTATATTGTGTTGAAACATTTAAGAATAAATGATATATACTCAAGCAAAAATTATAGTGCAAGATTCAAACTAGTACTGACTTTTCCTGGACAAATATGTACACATGTTGAATTGTTTAAACATAACATGAAATTTATTAAGTTGATTTGTTTCAAAGTTATTAAAAAAAACACAGGTGATATGATAATCAACAATAAAAAATATTTTTCTATGAACAATTATTGTAGAAGTCATTGAAATGGAGCGAGCTCTAAGCTTTATATTTGTAAGGCATGCATCCAGGAACCTTTGAATGATCATTGAAATGGAGCAAGCTGTAAGCTTTATATTTGTAAGGCATGCATCCAGGAACCTTTGAACAATCTTCTCAAATATGAAAGTTATCTTCAATTTTGAGCTAATCAGAAAGCAGACTTTAAACAAGAGTTCGTTTAACATTTGCAAAATAAAAAAATGATTGCAAAGGTTTTCAACTTCAGGTGGGTCTACAAATAACTTGCTATAGCTGCAGCTACATTGTCTGCATGCTGATCTCTAATCTTATGAAGCATTGAATAATATTGAATACCTTGATTTCTGGATTGTAGTYACTAAGCCTCATGGACATTACTTCTGATAACATTCATCACTTTATCAATCAGGTCTCCTTTCTTATCTTTCTGTCGTACATTAACATTGTGATTTCTCAGCCAGTTAACCAATGTGACAGAATTTACTTTCTTCAGCTACAAAGAAAAACATATCATTTTTGATACTGGTCGATACTGGCTCCCCCTGGAGAAAATAATTTTAATTACATGGATTTATCTTCCCCCCTGGGCAACTTTAATTCATACCTGGTATCTTAGGGAAAACAAAAGTCCCAGGTTACCCAAGGATAAAACAAATGCTGATGCTCCTCTTATTTATAATCTCCTTGATGCTTCCCTTGTAATGGCATGCTTGTTCATACACAGGAACCCCAAGGAAAAAGGTTGTTGAGGAGGGTTTTTGTAATRTATAGAACTTACCTGGTTATTTAGTGCCAGTTGTCTAATGTCAACATCCTCCTGTACTTTAGGTTTTGGTCTTGGCTTTTTGACTGCTATATCACTTTCACATGTGCTGGTATTCTATTGGATAAAATCCTACAGTAATTATATACAAGTGCCTTCAACCCACTTCATAAAGAGCTTAGTTGCTACAATGTACATGAGCATTTAAAATACCAGTCTAGCTATGGTGATTTTAATTCTGATTAATTACCAGGAAAATWTGTGTTTCAATAGGCAGTAAAAATCATTAAATTGCAACATTTACAGATTGTGACAGGCACATCACATCACTACTGGTAAATGCTAATGAACATACCTGTCTTTTTGAAGTTCCTGGATGACTTCCAATATAAACCTCATCCATACTCTCAGAATAGCTGCCCTGTGCTCTTTGAAACATGCATGAAGAGTCCAGTTTCTCCACATTTCTCTGCTGTAATCCAGTCAATGGYTTTACTATTCTCTTGTACCTGTTGGTTGGAACTGGTATGGAGTTTGGAGTTGAACTTTGGYTTGGCCCTTTAATGGAAACGCCATTCAAAGCAGCAATTGTAGAGGGGTGTACAGAATTTACAGGGACTCTRTGTGTAACCATGTCAACAGAGTTTGTTGTCCTTTTAGCAATGACAGGAATAGTACTTCTAGATAGACTTAGTCCTGGTCTATTATCTGGTAGTTTCTTAGTATGATTATAAGACACACAGTTTGTGCAATCTTCACTTTGTAAAGTATCACTTTCATGACCATTATTGGTATTAGTTGTGAATGACAATGATTGTGTACAAGGTATAGAKCTGGCATTGCTGCCATGAASAACTACTTGAGATGACATCAATTTTGTCTTGAATACAGGAGTCACTTTAGGGGTGGCAACRTCTTTTATTTTATTTCCTCGAGATACCAGAGTTTTTGAAGGTAATTGTCTGGTAAAAGTTGGAATATAACGATCACTATTAGGTCTTGAAATAGCAGTGTCAATACAGGTTTTCTGAGGTATATTGCTGCTTTCACTGGATGTAACTGGTATGTGGCTTGGTGTTTCAGCTTTCTGTGAAAACACATATGGAGTGCAATGCTTGTACTGTGGAGGCAGGCGAGTCAAGCAGCTCTGGTTATTAGTCAGTGCACTGTGCAACTTGTTTGATGAATAAAGTGCGCATGATGTTAATCTCAATGGTGATTCACATATGAAAGGAATACGGTTTTGCACATCTTGCAGAAACGCTTGAAATATTGCTTGTTGATCACAACGTAGTAATATTTGAGGATAATTACTCTGGATACAACTGCTGGGATACCTTGAATGTCAGTTAAGATCAAATAACATTACATGCCATAATCTTTTTTGCACTTATTATATTATGATGGTGTGTGGGATTCAAACATACTAATAAGTCAATCAGCATGAAATAAGTCACATAAAGTGCACATWAAAAATTTATTTTATAAAGATACGTAAAGATCTTGCTACCAAAGAACCTGACATTGTAGAAGATATGCTCATGTGATGGAAGTCTGTAGCCATACTGAAATGGAAAAAAAAAAATTTACTTAAACGTTTGCTTACTTCAAGTACATTATTCCCTTGTAATTAAACCTACCATTAGCTTCCAGTGTTTTCTGAGGTCTTCATAACATGAAAAGGGAGAATCAGAAGGAATTTCATGAGATATACCTATTACCCGTGCTTTCTTCAAACTACAAAAGAAAAACAATAATAAAGTTGATATCAACTTGAATCGCAACTTTGTTGTTGTTAAGTTTAATGTTTCTCATTTATCAATTTTTCAAATCGCTGTAGAAACTTGTCGCACAACAAAAAACATGCCATAAAAACCCATTGCCACGTATCTTTCTGCCTTTAGTTTACCTGGGTAAAACATAGCACAATTCATCTTKGATTGAATCTTGTTGGATTTCAAAATTTCTTTGTCTTGAAAAAGTTTGAAGGATATTTGCAGAGGAACAGAAATGATCTACCTGTAATAAGTATAAATTTCATTTTAATTATTTTATATAATGACTTTTATAGCAAGTTAAAGAGTATTCTTACTTTTGAAGGATCCACTTTTAAATTAAAGGCCTTAAGACCAATGCAAAGTCTGTCAGTGATGTTGAAATCAATAGCTAAAAAAACAAGTTAATGTACTGTTGTAGTTCATATATAAAACAATGAACAATTTTCATCGCATTGAAAATCATTGGAAAATTTTGGAATTATAATGGAAATAGTTACTTACAAATTGCATTAAGTTTGGATTTACATTCAAAGAAATCCCGACCTGAAATAAAAATATGAAATGGAAATTATCAATGTTTCATATTGTTTCATATATCTTTAAGTCACTTTACCTTGAATGAAGTATTCTCCAGCTTTGTTCCAAAGTGGTGCTAGTTTCTGGGTAATAGTAAAAGCCAAGCAATACTGGAATAACTCCTTGTTGACATCAACTTGTCTMACAACCTAAAAACATTACAATCGGTGAAAGAACAACAGTGCAAAAATATACACACTGTACATAACCCACAAAGGCTACCCAATACACTTTATGTGCAAGACTTCATTCCTAATGTTTTACTTAATATAAGCTTACCTTGAACTTAAGTTTTGACATAAGACCTTGAAACTTGCTGCAYTCCAAAACAGTCTCCTATAAACCATTAAAGCTAGTTCAACTGAAATCACTGAAGATAATTTCTTAATTTTGATGAAGTATTTAACTTATTGCTGTTTATACCTTACACAATATAACGGCTTGGCTTCCATTTTCTAAGCAGGGAGATAAAAGGACTCTTGGCTCGGTAAATAGAAGCTCCCTGGAGAAAAGACARCACAAAAAATAAATTGAAGAGTTTCAATGCTTTTTYCAAAACAAGACTTAGAGTTCATAACCTTACCTACATCCAAGAGGTTGAATTGTACTCATATTTTCATCGTCTTCCTCAACTAGATAAGCAACCAAACCGCTTAGGTCTGGTAGAGCACCAAAATACAGGCCAGTTGCCGTTTTGTTGTTATTCATTGTCTGTATCAGTCAGCAGTAAATGCTATAAAAAGCATTCACGATGCTAATTCTGCTTTTCAACCAAATAATTTACTAAATGAAACTATAATTATAATGAAACTATAAAGGAATAGAAATGATGTTTGGCTCTTCGAAGTGAAATAGAGTAAGCGCGCGCGCGCTCTTTCAATTCATTTTGGCGGGAAAACAATTTCGAATCCAGGCTCCGTCCAACTTTCCAGTGTACGCGGGGTCTAGGTTCTAGACAGAAATTGTCCGGGAAATAAGAAATAAAAATAGGTTTCGGCGGACCCTGGAAATTAGAAATTACCGATTACAGGAGCAAAGGATATTTTATGTGGGTATCCCAGGATACAGATCTTCGAACGTTGAAATATTCTGTTAATCAAAATTTTTCAAGAAAGTAGATATTTTATTTGTTGGTCCCGACAAAAGTACGCACTCMCACGTTCGTTCAAGTAGTTTATTAATTAGTCAATCTTGGTTCAGTTACAACAGTTTTAAGCAAGTTAGGCTATGAATATAATTCCCAAAGGCACTAATTGCCGCTCATTTGACACGCCTTTTATTTCATCAAAACCGTTAAACAAATTAATGCTTATAAAAAACGAGATAAAAATATTGCCTGCAGCTTTGCAAAACGACCAGCGCTTAATCATGACTGCTTCGRTTAAATAAAAAATAATTTTAGTTGATTTACTGATGGATGCCACTCGGGTGCGGCCAGACGGTGCGCATCGTTATGCATCATAATTTAAAACAAACTTATAGTTCGTGGTTCACAAACCGAAAACTTTCATTTTGCCGTCACAAAAATGACGACACGGGTATCATTTGGTTTTTGTTTCGTATAGCCCAAAGAGTCGACTTGGAATACCCTCGTACAGGCTTATTCCTCAAAGGTGGGGCTATTCAGTTTCTGGACCACAAAATATTAACTCAACATTAGGTTATTATTAGAAATTATTAGAGAATTTATATAATACTTGTGAGGGCTTCTATAGTGCAATCATCTGAATGAACTAATTTCCTCAATTAGTTTGCAGCTTACAGAGTTTACAAGAGGTTTATCAAAGTCCCAGAGAGTCTTTGCGACACTAGAATCTAGGATTTGAAGCATGATGGTTGTTATGGTTACCATTACCATTTGGGTACGCCGTTGGAACTTGAAGATGAGCCGGTCGAGTTGGCTTTTGAAATCCGCGAGGTTGTACTGGTTGAAATGCAGAGTATCCCCCGCGGGAATTACCTTGCATACCTTGAAAATTAACATCAACAGAATACTGTCGTTGGAGATACTGCTGGTAGCGTGGATGGGAGGGGTGGGGAATGCCAATTTGACTCCACCAGTGTTCCTGGGGTAGGAATGGGTCGCTGTAGTGTTGGGGCGGTAGTGCTTGACGTTGTAGGTTTTGACGTTGAGTTTCGTCAGTCAGTGATGAAGTTTTACTCCACTGTGGTTGTTGCGAAGGAGACGTGCTACGGCGCGGCCAAGGATCCTACAAATAAAACAATGTAAACTGATGATGGTGATCAGGRTTGCGGCTTATGGTTTCAAAGGAAAGTCCCTTGATACCGTGTTTAGCTTTCATCGTGTGAAGCTTCTCTAACGCTTTCTGTAGACAAATCAATGAACTAAAGGGGTTGGTGTTGGCCTACCTTCCTAGTTAAGTCTTCTGTACTCCACGGCTTGTTCATCTCAGGGACAGACAGACCTTTACCTTGAACTATTTCATCTCGTCTGAAAAATACACAAAATAACATTTTGAGTATGACATTTAACAAAACCGCCACAGTGGCATCATACCCTGCCTGGCTTGCTGCAGCAAATAGYTCAGGTCCAGTGATACCCAATCCAAGGGAAAATGCACTTTTACCACCATGATTTGAACGGTCGAGACTCTCATCAGAACGGCACCACTGGCCAGTCTCAGTCTGAAAAGGCAGGTGTATTAGCTCTTCTATGAAAAACTTAATATGACATACTTCTACTCTCTACATGACAAATTAAACGAAGGTGTGCCTTTGCATCGACTCGAGAAAAATGAACTGCAATTCATGAGACCCAAACACCGATAATGATTAAAGTATATACCTCATTTATCTCGCTCACATTAGGGTTACTACCCCAAACATCACTACCAAACCCCATCGGCCACTTTAAGCCCAGGTCCATTACAGGAGAGGCGTTACTAGGCAACATGTTTTCGTTAAGACTTCTTGTATCTTCATCTTTGTGTCCCTTGTCATTGAATTCCGACAAAGACCAGCAGCTGTGATATAGAGTTTCTTGAGAGCCATACTTCTCTTTGCGCAACTTCAACGATCCCACTCCATTGTCCTTCTGATTTTTGGATGGTTCTRCGTTTTCCCAAACACTCCTTGAACATAATTTAGATAATGTTAAACGAATGCATGTCAAAGATGGTGTTCCTTACAAATTTATATAACTAAAAAATATTATTATCAGTATCATGGTGGTGTTGCTGTTTCTTCCGATATTCTATTCATCACTATCATTATCATTACTGTTGTTGTCATTGGTATGATATTCATCATTATAGTTGAAGAGATCAAAATGCTAGAGTTCTCACATGAATACCAACCTAAGACTTTCACTGATGGTAACCTTATCTTGCTCATTCTGTAGGTCGTCATCAACAGAACTGACCGTTACCACAACTGGGCTCGGCTCGCATGTTTTATTTTCCATTTCTTCAAAATTCTTTTGCTCCTTCACTTTCCCCTTTTGTTTATTTTCTATTTTGCTTGTATCTTCCTTGGAAGAATTCACAGCTTTGCTGTTTGGTTGTTTCTCTTTTGATTGTGCTTCACTTTTATTTCCTGAATCTTGACTTTTCTCTGATTTTTTATTCGACTTTTTTCCTTTGTTAGATTCAGATTTGTTGCTTTCCTTCTTTGTATCTGAATCTTGTTTGTTTTTTCCTTTACGACATTTGTTTTCTTTCTTGGTTTCTTTGACAGGGTCAACTGGAGGAGTAGACGTTGTGATTGCTGGTATTGTCAAGTCAGGACCTTCAGAAGAATTTTGTTGGGTTACTGTACTGAGTGAAATACTTAATGTACTACCTATACCGCTGTCTGCTGGTGTCACATGACTGCTGTTATCAACATTATCAGTAGGAGCAGACTTTCGGCGAGGGTTTGGTGCTCCTGACAGAAACTTGATTACTTCATCTAACTCTTGTTGTGAAGCTACAGATAGTTGACTCTGTGAATCTATAAGAAAAACAGTTGTTGGATTACGCTACAGTCGCAATACCAGTCTGTGGTCTTTTGTACATCGTTGTTTTGTCTTCTTGCCTCTAATCGTCTTGTTTTGTTGTTTGCTGTTCTGTTTTGATTTCACTTAAAATACCTGAAAGCGTTGGTTTAAACATTGCTGGAGGAAACTTAGAATCAGCTGAGTACCAATCGTCCCTTTTCTCTGTACATGGCGCTTTCTCAGATTCAGAGGTTCCTTTGTCTGCTTCTCCCATGTTCTGTAACCTTACTTTACGGGCCCAGTGTTTAGGGCGTGGTGGGGGTAGAGGGGCAAAATTTTCTATTTCTTCTGTGTCAAAATCATTACTGGCTTCTGTACTGGAAGTGACCAAAGAAATGCGATTACCTGGAACAGTAAAATAGAGATAAATTGATGAATACTGTACATGGCCAAGGGAAGTAAAAATAAATAATTCACCATCATTGCCAGGAGACCCACTGCTAGTGCCAGCACTAGGAGGAGATGAAGTAGGAGACTCCAAGACATTTCCAGTATTCCCAGGTTGCTTTGTTCCCTGGGATGACTTCCTTGAGAAAATCTTCGAGGTGGCTTTGGTCAGTGACTTGCGGAATCTGTTCTGTTTATGTGATGGGGATGATTCTTGCTTGGGGAGAGTAGACGGTGATTGTGGTATGTTGTGTCTTTTGATATAAATAGTAGGTAGCAGACGCTCCCTATTGATGTTAGTTATTGGTTAATTTACTTGAAATTTCGCATGAATACAAAGACTTTGAAGATGTAAATATAACAAAAAAGAAAGAAGAAAAKAAAATRAAASGAAAGAGAAATACTGCAAGAAYAGTKAAATAAGAAAATTGGGTAAAAATACASTCAAAATGGAAAGGAAGGAAAAGGAAATTAAGAAGTAAAAGCAATAATATCTTAAACTTACTTGTCTTCTAGAAAATCCATCAAGCTAAACTTAGCCACACTAATGGCATCAACTGTACCAAGAACTGTGCTCAAGTCCACATCATGTGAGAGACAAGCAAATAACATCTGATCTGCASYGATAGACCTTTCAAGATAGAAGCTTACTATTAAATTATGTGAGCCACGTAAATATCAAAATGTAATGAGGTTTCAACGACTTTACTGAGCAATACTGACGTTAAAATGTTCATGGTTTTKAATTGTGTATGTTAAGTCATGACTACATTCTCTAATGATTATGTTGGATGGCAAAAGACAAGRATTGGTTTTCCCTTTTCGTAGTACAATTTRAMATGCCTACAGTTAAGTAGTACAAAACCTCTTAAAGCAAAATATTGCAAAACTCACCATGTTGACAGAACTTCTACATGGACATTGGTACTTTTTACAAACACTCGTGCCTGCCGAGTGTTAGCTTCTTTGCATGGTTTAATTGTAACCTAAATAAAAAATAGACATTAGATTCTGAATATTCAGTATTAATATTTTACATCAAAATGGCATTGATAGTTTTAAATGCACCCTGAATTATGAAAGGTTTTCATACTTACCAGGTTTGCCCTCCCAAACAGCAACTGCACAGCTGTCTTTGATGACGACATACAGACAGGAGAACAAGCTTCATACAAAATAGCAGTAACAAACTGGTCCAGGTTTTCTTTGTTCATAGGAATATCATTGTGCGTTGCTACATTAACAACAAGCTCTCGGATACAGTGCTGCAAAACAAGAACATCAACACTGAGAATTTACAGTTATTACTCAAAGGTTCAAAAGTATATTCATTGTCACTTGTTTCTTCTACCATTGGTATATAGACATACCAATTTTGACTTCAGATTGTCAGGAGCCTTGCTTGGAGATGCACAAGTATCATGAACAACAGAACCTAGAAACATACAAATGATCACTATCCTAAGTACATCAATAGAGAAAGTTACTCAAGATTACATAAAATAAGTCATGTTATATCTAAATCAGTACTGAACAATTGGCATTTAGTGTTAAAACAACATAGTATTACCTATCTTGAGCTGGAGTTTAGGAAGATGTCTAACAATTTCTGCTTCCATTTCTTCCTTTGTGACAAGTTCCAAGAGTCCACCGGCAGCAAGTGCTTCTGTTTCTGAACAACAACCCTGACRGAAAGAGCACCATGTTTAMAAATCATGTAGGTGGTGATTATGGCAACAATATAATAGTTGTTTAAATTATAAAGTATTCTAAAACAAAAGCAGTTACRAAATGAAGCATACCTTGAGAGCAAGTTCAATTCCCTTAGGATGTTTTTGAAATCCACCAGGAATATCAGCCTCTGGAGTAGGTGCTCTTTCAAACTCTCTCTGATAATTCTTTTAATAAAAAGTATGATTAATACTATTGATATCTATGGTACTTGCAGATTCAGTAGAGGAGTCTCACCTTTAAAAGTAGCTCCACCCTKATGGCCAGCTGTTTTTTCTCTGATTCTGACAAATCTTGATCAACAAGCAAATGAACATCATATCTTGTCAAACCTTTTCCTTGACGAAGACCCTGGTTGGCCTGCAATATGAACATTAATAACCCCTAACTTAAGCATAAGACTAAAAAGATGATAATTGATTTTGTCAAGGTTATATAAATTGTACAACATAATAATCTGAGGATGTGGAAGGAGGTGCAGACAAAGGCGGCAGACAGAGTGGAATGGAGAAACTTTATAAAGGTCCTATGTGCCACTAGGCACGAAAAGGAAGATTGACTGATTGATGGCAGCATAATCATGATAATTATTAATTACTGAGCCTCACTTGTGCAAGAGACAGCCAAGCTGTTGTAGCATCTTTCAAAGCAAGGGTGACTTCTCTGTCCCGCAGGTAATCCCCAATTTCTTGAAAACTGCCAACTGGAGACATCAACTCAGATGATGATGTCAAGAACTGAGACTGAATTTGCAATAAAGAAAGAAAACAGGAACCAAGCATCTAAAAAGACAAAATAATGATGTTCACTATCTTCGGCCTGCTCTCAATCAACAAAAGTGTGTTTGCACCAAACGTCAGCTGAAAATCGTGATTGATACTAGCCTATTGCTAATTGAACTTGGTGAATTTTGAACTGGTCATATCAATGCAAATGGTAGTAACAAAAATGAAAATGAAAACAAACTTCATGAATTTTTGACTGGRTCGATGCAAATTTTAGTAACAAACACAAAAACAAACTAATTCCTTTTTATTGCAAAGCTATGTATGGACGTTGTTATGGTTATTCTAGAACCTACATGTAATTCAACTCCCTTGAAGCATTATTATCTATTATTGTAGCATATATTTACACTTTAACATATAGGAGGAATTAATTAAAAGATAGATACAAGGTCTACAAAGATCCCACAAAAATCCCACAAAATAYCACAAACTGAAATAATCGAAATGTTGGAAATTGTTATTTGTAACACATGTAAACAGGAAATAGAATAAATTTCAACACATTTTCATTTTTTCATTTTTTTTTTTTTTAATCCACTAGGGCCACACCAGTTCCATGAAGGGTAGCTAGTGCTATCCACCTACAAATCCTTATTAATACAAATGACATGAAATGGATAACTTTATCCACCTTGCATAAATCAGGCCCTGAGGTGTACATCACTCCGACTCTTGAAGAAATATATTTGAAGGGGCGGATACGAAACCGGCCTAAGTGACGATTTAGGGTATTTTTGAAATTTTAGAAAAATTAAAAAAACATCATTCCAATTGCTTATTTTAAGTCTAAATAACCTTATTTAGTACTTATTTGTCCTGATTTCTTTCCAAAAAGAGTAAAAAAAAGACCCATAGTTACGGACTTCTTTGGCTTGACAACTGATCGCTAGACCGTAAAATATCCCAGATTTGCATATTCGTGCTAAACTCATGACTTTGACAGTTGGTTTGTCGGTTTGTTTTGGTTCGAAGCTGTGCTGCAAGAAGTCGAGAAATGAGTTTTTTCGCGGTTTTCTCAGCCTTTTTGCCTTTAGTCACTACTCTACAGACATCATTAAGTTTGTAGGTAGCGAAGGAGCTTACTTGCTGAAAGAATCCAGCTTGGTGTGTGACTTTTTAAGCGATTTTGATTCCGTGGTTGATTATATTAACTTGGACAGTCGCTTGAAGAGAATCACTTAAAAGACCGTCYAAAGGCAAATCCTTGGAGCTGCCACAGTAATTTTTGGATGTTTTGGCTATTGAGGAACAAAAGCGATTGAAATTTTGGCAGATTTCTGAGAAGGCTGTAGACTTAAATAWAAATTTCTATTTCAGATTGGACGGAATCGTTGCTCACGGCGTGTGTAGTTTTTTCCCAGAATTCATTTCGCGCAAAAATCCAGTTAAAACACGTGTTCTGAATCAGTGTCCAAAGAGAAAGCCGTAGCATGAGATCTTTATGGAAAATGTGAAAAATAAAATGCTTAAATGACAGAAGTAGGACTAAAATTGTGTACCAACAGTCATTCGCTTCTTGAAATCTAGAATTTTGTAGGAAAAAAAGACAAGGAAATAGTGCTTTTTAGTCACTGTAGGTGAGAATTAGAGTCAAAACTGCCCTTGTTTTCGGTTAATTTTTGTGACTTCAACTGTCGCTTAACTGCCTTTTCAATGTCAAACTGAGTAGCTCAGTCATCCATGCTGTTTAAGTGATTTTATACAAACTTCAAAGTGTGGACTCGGGGGGGAGGGGGGGGAGTTTGTTTGCTTTACAAACTCAGGTTTTAGAGCCTAACCCTTAGCTAACGTTAACCCTACCCTACCCTAAACCCTAACTATTCTAACCCTAACCCTAAATCAAGCAACCCTAGCCCCTGTCTTAGGCTATAGGAACCCTAACTCTTGCATAAGGCTGGAACTAACCCTATGCTAAAGTTTGGGGGAGGGGAGGGTACAGTCTGTAACTAMATGTCGACTTTTTTCCGCTTTTTAAAAGGAAATCACGAGAAATAACTAGCAAACATGATTAGTTAGACCAGAAACAAATGATTGAAGCGATTTTTTGTCAAATTTTCGAAAATTTCAAAAATACCCTAAATCGTCACTTAGGCCGGTTTCGTATCCGCCCCTTCATTTTTACCATGCAATATGTTTATTTTGAAACAATTTACAACACATTTGCTTTGTTTAATAATCAATGAAAATATTGACTATTATTAGGAAGTCTATTGTTTCAAATCAAATTACAATATCGTGATTGGCTAAGGTCGATCAGCTTATGTTTCAATCAATGTACATGATGTAATAGCACGCTTTTAGAACAGTCAGTACGTGTCTGCATTTCAAAATAATTGAATTTTAATAAATAAACCGATCGAGAACATTCTAAATTAATGTACAAATAATAATTGTCTTGATTTAAAACAGTAACTCATAAAACAGTTGGAACGGGGTACATTGAACTTAGTTGATAAATATTTTTGAAAACACCGACATGCAACTAGACTAAATTTAGTAAAGACATAAAAACGAGGAAAATATGACAAGGAAAATAACTCCATTTTACCATTCWAAATGACTCAAAATGAGCTACTTCTCGYTATATTTGTGGAGAATTTGACTGTTATAAAGCGGCAGATGTTTTAGAATCTTAATACTGTGTCATGGATTAAAATATGACCCGAGGCAAATTGTATACTGTCAAAACACCCTCTGTCGACCGATACAACACAAATGATCAAAACAAATTGAAAATACCTTTCAGTTTCACRTTAAAAATCAAAAAACTGTTTTTCGTATTTCCCCTACCTTTACCCGATTTTCCTCAACTTCTGTAAAGCTACGATAAAGGTTCTCTTCCTCAGTTGAAAGTTCCTCGTCAGCTGAACGAAAACGTTTCTTGGCAATTTTAAACCGCTTGGAGTTTTCACWCAGTGTTTCATCTCGGTCCAACGCTTCAAGATTTTCCTGGCATGATTCGTAATTCTGGGCACTCCTCTTGTGAGCTTCGATTGCTCGTTTGAGATCTGGAAAAGTGGCAGTGAATTCACATAACGTACCCAAGATATGGTTCATGATATGTAGACTTGACTTATGAGCAACATGATCGATCTCCTCTACAACTTGTTTAAGTTGCTGAGTGATCTCAGACAGTGGCGTATCCTTTAGAACCAAGCAGAAAGCTTCGGCTAAGTGAGAACCAGCCCCACAAAATGATTTTGWCACGTCTAGATAATCCTTAATATGCTGATCAATGGCAGTTACATTGTCTTGAAGTCTCTCCACATTCGTCAACAGTTTTTCRTGATAGTGAAGTGGTTTCACACCCTCATCTTTCCTAGCTCTCCACTGATGATAAGACAAATATCTTACACTATCCATCATCTACATGGAAGTAGGGAAGGCATTAAATATGGAGAAAAACGACTGTATTCAGTCGTTCTTGATGAAGAAGATCAGCTCGCAACGAGCCCAACATCTGATATTTGTTATTAGTGTGAGCCTTCAGTCCAATAGGCTCGCGGTGTAAACATAGAAGGGAGGCATGGATCATGTGCAAAGATAAATTCCAATTTTCATATATTTTTTACTTTTTCATAATGAGTCCTTCTAGCCATATGTTACAATCATTATTTATTGTTTTAGAATTTATTTGATATTATGTTTTACAAATCATATGACGAATATTTTATTCAAAAAGTCATAAAAGGTAATAGATGAAATCCTGTCGATTTATTCTTACTATTTTTTTAACATTTTGGAGGAAACAACTGGCAATGATCGCACTGTAATTTTATATCTTATCTAACCATTGAGTCGCTTGAGTTTTCTCTGGGATGCCTATGTTAGATTTGAACCAAAGAGACTGGATTCCAATAAATCAAAATGGCGTCCAAAGAAGAGCTGATGAGTTGGTGTATTCATGAACTATCTGGAATCACAGACTGTGCTAAGGACATCACTGACTATGTTTTCAAAATAGATGATTCAAATGATGTGAGGGAGTATCTCTTAGAGCTTTTTGGAGAAAGCATTGGAAACCATCAAGATTTTGTCGATCGTCTTGTGAAGGGATTGAATGACCTGTCCACGAGCGTACAACAACCTGAGGGGCAGTGGATACAAAAGGATAAAGATCCTGAAATTATACCACGAAAGCAAAATAAAAAGAAGAAACGAATTGAGCCTGAAGAAAAGAAGAAACCCACTCGTTTTGTACCGCTGTACAGCAAAGAAGGAGAAGCCAGATCGTCGGTTCGTCTACCGGGAAGACATCCTTGTGAGTGTCTTGCTCAGAAGCATGCCCTCATAAACAACTGTACAAGCTGTGGCCGTATAGTCTGCGAACAAGAAGGAGCAGGGCCTTGTTATTTCTGTGGATCGTTAGTTTGTACCAAGGCAGAACAAGARGTAATCGCCAGGGAGTCGAAGAAAAGTGCAAAACTTGTAAAACAGCTGATGGCGCAGACATTTTCTGATGAGGTCAGCACTTCTAAAGAAATGGCTGACTATCAAAAAGCTGTTGAGCACAAGAACAGATTACTAGAGTTTGATAAATCAAGTGCAAGGAGAACGCGTGTTATAGATGATGAATGTGATTATTTCTCAACTAATTCAAGCAAGTGGTTGTCCACCAAAGAACGAGAGGCACTCAAGAAGAAAGAACAAGAACTGCTTGAGAAACGACATGAATCACGTCGCAACAAGAAGGTGACCTTAGATTTTATAGGAAGAAAAGTCATTGAARACACAGATGTGTTTGACATGAGTGAAWTGTCTATATCAACTAGTTCCAGCAGTGGTGCAGAACATAAGTCATTATTAGATTCCAAAACCTATCCTGATTTGAAACTGGAATTTCAACCATCAAAGTCTAAATCAAATATCTTCTCTGGTAAAGCAGCACTGAATAAGAACACTAAAGGCCTCCGCTTACAAGACAAAGAGCTACAGGAAATGAGAGACCCTGGAATGTGTTTAAGCATGCATCAACCCTGGGCATCACTTCTTGTTAAAGGCATCAAACAGGTGGAAGGACGCTCTTGGTATTCATCACACCGTGGAAGACTGTGGATTGCTGCAACTGTCAAGACACCTTCTATTGAAGAAATAGCAGCAGTAGAGGACATGTATACAGACATTTATCCTGAGAAAAATCTTGCATTTCCTAAACTTTACCCCACAGCATGCCTGCTTGGATGTGTAGATGTTACAGACTGTGTAAATAAYGATGAATATAAAGAAAAATTTTCAGACAATACTGAGTCTGAATCCCCATTTGTTTTCATCTGTGAAAATCCTCAGGAATTGCTACTCAAAATCCCAGTTAAGGGACAGCACAAGATATGGAAGCTGGAAACTCAAACTCACAAAGAAGCAAAGGCAGCACAAAAGATTTAGCCACAACAACACAAGTCAAGTTTGATGCAGTCTTTTTGCACAATATTGAAGCTATTCAAAAATATCATTAGAATGTTTAGATTACAGTATTRTTTTTAGGAAGTTCTTATTAGAACATTAATATTAGAAATACTTTAGGAAAGATAATGAAAAAACAGAGAAATAGACCATACTCTACTATGGTAGTTGTTTTAATTTTGCTCAAGCTTTCGCTGGACAGCAAAAGCTTGAAATTAAAACAACTACCACAGTAGTGTATGGTCTATTTCWCTGTTTACTCACACAAAACATGCAACTGAAAGRCAACTTCACTRTTTTCAAAGATAATGAATGTTTTGTCCAYAGCTCTAAATCCAAGCAGATGACTCTAATTTTGCTAAAATTAAATGCACAAATACTTCAACCAAATGTTCTTGAATATTTTCATTTGTATTGGATTAAGYATGTGAAATTCATATCACATTGCATAATATCTCAAAGCAATTCACATGAAAACTGGATTGATGTCAAGTTACCATAAAGTGTTCCACAAACACTACAAGTAATGGCAAATGTATTTTCATTGTTTGTTTTATTTAAAACATCAGTAAACAAATATATAATCAACTGCTGTAAGTGATTTTTATAAAGTAGATAGAAAACTGTAGGAAGGTGTATTGACATGGTTTTTGATAGGAGCCAAATATTGTCAATGAATATTGAATGAAATCTTTTGCTGCAAAGCTGCTAGTGTATAAGCTGCTTCCTTAGAATCGTTGACCTCACACGACCAGTGATTCGAATTTGAATGYGGCAAAATCCTGTCAAAAGCGCTGTTATCTGAAACACTGAGCCTTCCTGCGATGACAGGGCGAATGTGATGTACAGGGCTGTTGTTTTTCGGAGAAGTTAAAATCCCTGGTAGTACTGGAGACATGTTTATGTAGTAGGGAAGTGGTCTGTTGTTTCTCTGAGGGAAATTGACGCGTGGTGGTAAAGTTGGATAAGGACATCCTGGACTAATGTTATGGTGTGCTCCTAGAAAACATATATAAACAATGTTATAGCACAAAGAATAATATAAAACTCGTAATTGGACAAGCTGTTTTTTTTTAAGCCATCGGATCAAAATCAATCGCGGACTTCACGCACATTCGCGTGACTTTGCAAACGAAGRCAACTATGATGCCATAACATGCCGTGCTGCACTGCATTATAAACACCTCTAATCATTTTACGGCCTAGACAAAAACACATAAAAATGTTTAAGCACACGAATATTGAAAGCGCGACGGATAGTTTTTTCTTTGTCAAAATGGAAAAAAACTTGCAGTGGTTTCAGTGCCTCACAGGATTCCACGTGTGCTCATTCATGCGTGCAAATTGAAATCAATCAAACTCTGTCAATGACAAACCATAAATATCATAAAAAGCCAATATTATGCACCACGAAGCGATTCCCTAATTGAAGATTTAAGATAAAAATGTTTCTTTGTGTTTGTTACTTGTGCGTGTGAAGTTGACGCCAGCAAATGTGTTTTTTCTCGAGCACATGATCAACAGGTAGAACTAAGGTAGTAAAACTGAACATCTCCTATTTTACTTGATTTACTAATCAAGTCTAGTAGTAAGCTATGTAGCTAGTCAGTTACGACAGCCAAAACAATTTTTAAAAYACTTTAAAAGAATAAACAAACTGAAACAAATAAACTAAGCACCTTGAGGATGAGGACGCTGAGAATACATTACTGGAGCTGTTCTTTGAGAAGAAGCATCACACTTAATTACACCTTCTTTCGATCCCGATGTCAGGSCGTCATATCTCTTCATTTGATGTCTACGTAGTTTCACTTGTTTTCTCATAACTTCACGTCTTTCCCTGCCCTGATCACACAGTTTGCATTCACAATCGCTGAATTCACACTCATACTTGTGACCTTTCAAGGGTGACCTAATTCCATGATTTGCACATAGTGTGCAGGTAGGCATCCTTGTTCGCTTTTGAATCTTTGATATTCCTGACATAGTCCTGATTTCTTGCAAGCATGCAGCAGAGYTCAAATGGGCTTCCCCACTAGTTTGGGTGAAATTTTACAAGTACTGTTTCCATTGACAGCTGTCATTCACTTGCAGTAACCATGATTGGTTGTTGGAATTTTGATAGACATCAATTCTACAGGCAATGGCAAAAATGTATTTTTATTGTTTATCCTATCTAAGTAAACAAATATTACAATCAACTGCTGTAAATGGTTTAAGTAGACATAACCGTAGAAAAGTACGTGGTTTGACGAGGTACAATAGGAACCAAATACTGTCAATTGCTTTATATTAGATGAGCTGCTACTGCGAAATCTGCTTCTTTAGAATCGCTGACCGCACGCCAATTGCATTTCTCATGCGGCAAAATCCTATCAAAAGCGCTGTTATCTGAAACGCTGAGCCTTCCTGCGATRACAGGGCGAATGCGATGTACAGGGCTGTTGTTTTTCGGTGAAGTTGAAATCCCTGGTAGTACTGKAGACATGTCTAAGTAGTGTGAAGGAAGTGGATTGGTGTTCCTCTGAGGGAAATTGACGCGTGGTGGTAAAGTTGGATAAGGACATCCTGGACTAATGTTATGATGTGCTGCTAGAAAACATATATAAACACTGTTTTAAAAGAAACACAACGAAAGTTAATAGAAATCTCATAATCCTTATCTTAATACCAGTGAGCGCAAATCGAAATCAATGGTGGACTTCACGCACCTTCGCGTGACTTTGCAAACGGAGACAACTACATGCCATCCCTAGTAATACTACTGCACTKCCCTGAGACATCTCTGAATCCTTTTATAGCCAGGACAAAAAAAATAAGAATAAGAAGGAAAGCGCGAAATTTTTGGATGTTTTTTTCTTTGTCRAAAAGGAAAAAAACTTGCAGTGGTTTCAGTGCCTCACGGGTTGACACGTGTCTTGCTTCATTCATGCATGCAAATTGAAATCGATCAAACTCTGTCAATGACAAGCGATAAATATCATAAAAAGCCTATAATAGTATCAAATTCAATTTACTAATTGAAGATTTAAGATAAAAATGTTTCTTTTTGTGTTTGTTACTTGTACGTGTGACAGTTGACGCAAACAAAGTTAAGTTATTTTTATAGGACTTGTTTTCCTCGAACACATGATCAACTGGTAGTAACATTTTTTTTCTTCCCTTTTTTCATTGATTTACTGAAACTTACTAGTGCGTCATTCATGTCAGTTTCAATAGCCAAAAGCTTCAAAATCACGGAAGAATAAACAAACTGAAACTGAAAATAAACTAAAAGTGATCACCTTGAGGTTGAGGAYGCTGATTCTTTATTGGAGCCATTCTTTGAGAAGCATCACATTGAATTCCTCCGTCTTTCGATCCCATCARTGKCCGACGGTCRTAAAGCCTCTTTTGATACCTACGTAGTTTCACTTGTTTTCTCATAATTTCGCGTCTTTCTCGGCCATTGACGCACAGTTTGCATTCACAATCGCTGAATTCACACTCATACTTGTGACCTTTTGAAGGTGATCTAATTCCATGGTTTGCACATAGTGTGCAGGTCGAYGGTGTTCTTGCTCGTTTTAGAGTGTTTGATAGTCCTGACATCTCGCCCTTGACTCGCTAAACTGYGGGGTTTACTAAGTCTAGACGGATGAACATGTGCTGTATTTTGTCGTCGATTAGACCAAGTATGATTGGCCATTCGAGTTTTGATTGACATTGCTCATGTGACTTGTCAGTAACAAAGTAACTAAAAGTTCGAAAACATAGCAACAAAGCTGAAATCATGCACTCTTTTTAATACAATAATTATATATTTCAAAACTTTTTTATTTCATTTGTGGCATTAGAATAAATCAATAGTCACGTTCGTGGCAACCCACTGCTCAAATTTCAAATTGTAGTGACTAGAAACGGGAAATATATTAGATCATTTTAGACGTCTTGGTACCAAGTCTGTTTTACATGTCTATACCAAAACATTAATGGTCCTCCGAAATTGAAATCAATCCAATCTTATTCATGCTTTGTGGAAACTTGATCAGATCTATTATGTACATCAAACATATGCACACACACAAAAAATATGTACCTCAAAMATTTCASAATCCCTGATAAAATGAGGAAAACCTTCYTGCATTGGATCACAGGATCTTAGYCTAGTCGAAACTTGCTGACACGTTCCAGACTGGAAAACGGCCTCWYCAATCGAGAGACTTGATTAAAACCAAACCGCGAATAATTCAGAGAAGTTTCGAATTTTAGTATATATTGATTAATCACAAAGTATAAACTCGTTACATTTATTATTGAATCTAAAAGATTATAAGTTTCCTCGGACAATTTGAAACATTTGAATGGTACTAGGCACTCTCTAATGCTCTAAYTCCGTCATTCAGCTTGTCCCAGGAAAAAAYSGTTTCTTTACGCTATTTGAAACCCACCTGGAATGACTGCAAGGTTCATTAAGACTAGTAGGTGAAGAGCAACATGTGGTACATATCGTGTCATTTACATAAACTTTATGTAAAACTACATGCCAAATATGATTGGCCAGKTAAAATATGCATAATAAAACAAGAAATAAGCTTTTAAAAAATGAAAAATTAAGCATATTTTATATTTTTGAAATCTATGTGTCAAAAACTGGTTGCCATGGCGACATGGATGACGTTATCAACAAAAAAATTACATCAAAATCTGCCCAGATAAATTTTAGGAAAAGTCCGAAAGTTTCAGAGCTGTAGCTGTCTTGGTTCGAAAGTTATTGTCGTTTTACTCAAGGGGGGGCTCAAACCCCCTTCCCCCCCTCCCAGTCTGAATAGGGTTAAAAAGCAGGGTTGCCAAATCTCTTGGATAATCCAGCAGCTTCAATAATTTGTACAAAATAGCACATCTTTAAAAAAATCCTGAAAACGACCCCTCCCCCTACCTTGCAAAAAAAAATGCTGCACAAATACTTTTCAATTTACTGTTGCTTTTTTCTTTATCATTTCTTTTAATCAACAACCCTTTCAATGAAAAAAAACAACAATGAATCCAACCAACCTCCCTCTGGGCCCTTAAACAATATCACTCCCATGTAAGACACAAAAACAAATAAAGTATAAAAAAATTGCTTTTAATGTTACAGCACTTAGCTTATCTACTGCATTAGTACTCAAGGTCATGGCTTTTAGTCATGAAATGGTTATGGAATATAGTCACAAAAGGAGCGAATGATAAAAAGGAAATAGGCTCAAATAAATCACAACAAAACAAAAAGAGAAATAAGGACAACAAATTACAGGCATCAAGTACAAAGTAGATAATCTGAAACTTTTGAACAGAAAGAAACTGTTTTACATGTAATCATACTGTAATACCAGGCTTTGTAGCTTTCATAACATTACTCTGAAGGCAATTTTGTGGAAATGTAATTAAATATTCTAAAAAAATAATATGCTCTTAATAATAATCTCAAAATAAYCATATTTTTCACACATCTCTAATCATTTTCATGAATTTCTTTTTAAATTATTTCATCAGTACACTGATTGAATGAAATGTATAAMACAGGTTGTTAGAACAATTTGTCTCCAATCAATGAATGTTTTCTACCATACCTTTTGACCATTATATTAATAATCAAGACAAATRTATTCATTTTTTGCTTTTGAATGTGTCCAAGATTCAAAGAAAGAATAGGCTTTAAACATAATACATGATTAGAATGCAAACAGAAACATTTTGGTTCTTTTTGGCCTTCATACTGACAGTTCTACAACATCTTAAAAAAACATGAGTTTTACTGRCATTAGTTTCTGTGTATCTTATAGATCTCCATCATTCATTTAATAAAATTTACATCTTTTGCATCTGTCTTGCACACAGTGGGGAGGAAATTTGCTTCTTTMGTTCTTCTTTTTTGTCATCATGTAAAGAGCTAAGATATTGCTTTTTACTTTCACCTGAATCAGTCTTGGCACGCTACAGAACAAATAGGAACAAGAGTTACCATGAATATACAGTCATAAATAAAATTTGGCTTGAGACAGTATAATCAGGGCTGCAAATCCAGGATTTTCTCCAAGGAGGGGTGCAGGTATCCAAGGAGGGGTGCAGGTATCCAAGGAGGGGTGTAGGTATCCAAGGGGGGGTGAAGGTAACCAAGGAAGGGTGTAGGTATCCGAGAAGGAAGGTTGCAGGTAACCAAGTGAGTGTGTAGGTATCCAATGAGGGTTGCAGGTATCCAAGAAGGAGGTTGCAGGTATCCAAGAAGGAGGTTACAGGTATCCAAGGAGGGGTGCAGGTAACCAAGGAGGGGTGTAGGTATCCAAGAAGGAGGGTGAAAACCACAAAAGGGTCAAAAAAGAAAAAGAAAATTATACATCTCTTACCCGTCTCACTCCAAGAGAGTCACTGATTTTGTTAAAGATTGGTTCTGATTTTCGATTTGATGTTTTCTAGAATTGAATTATATTAGATAAATCAGAAAAAATTTGCCAAAAACAAATAAACCACAATTCAATAGCAAACAGCCATAACACATTCAACAAACAATATTAACTAACAACAACACCACACCAGACACAAAGTCACTAACATCATCATCAATTACTTATTGCACACAAACATTAATGAAATTTTGCAATAAACATGCATCTCAATGCGTCTCCTTAGTATCGAAAAGGTTAATAACATCAATATAAAGATGTCACTCAGACTTACTCTTTTCCACCGTATCTTTCCCTGTTCCAGTAGACTTGTTATTAGCTTGTCTATACCTTCAACTTGTTTGTTTTGAGTTTGTTGCCAYTTCTGTAACCTCTCAAGTATTGCTATTTGCTTCTCTTCTAAGTTATCCTTCAACGCATTCAACATGTAAAGCTTCGGGATCAATTTTCTCTCTTGCTCTCTTAGTTCGTTCGTGAAATCAGAGAGCTGTCGTAGGCATCGTGAATTCCCTTCTAGTGGTCCAACTTCACCAATCAGCTTTATCAGTGTTTTGTACATCATTTGAGAATTCTCACTTTGCAAGATACACATTCTCAGCATTTCTCTTGATTCTGCTGGGGTTATCTTGTTTTCATTGTTAACTGAATCACTTTTACATCTTGGAGTTGGACTGTCTTGCTCTGTCTCTTCTTCTTCTTCACTTTCAATGCGTACTCTTTTCATTCTCTTTCTAAGTTCTGTAAGCTCTGCAGACACACGCCTTAAGCTTTCTTCTCGGCGTTGTTCTTTTGTTTTCCTGGAGTTTCTTGCAGCTATTATCATTCTTTCCATCACTTTTTCATTGTCAACAATCTGCATGAAGAATGACAAAAATATTAGTAATGTTCTTCCCAGACTTGGTATTGTTAGCACTGAATGAGATAACAGAAWAGAACAACTAAAATAGGATGGTAGATGCACATGTACATGCAGGTTTGAATAATAAATAAATGAAGAGATGAATGGATGGATGATAGAAAAGTGAATGAACAAATGAATGAATACATAAGATAATGAATAGGATTATGTTTGACCAGAAATGGATGGAAAAATGGATAAAACGGCAAGAAAAGAAGCTGGTTTAAGCATTTGACATGCATCCATCTTGCTATTTTGATGAATTGAACAAGAGAAAGCAATGACACATTTGAATAAACCTTTTCAATATTCCAGTCATTTTTTTCATCAGTGATTTCTTTTACAAGGTACCTCCTACCACTTCCATCTTCACATAATAAAACCTTTAGCAAATCAAGCAAAAGACTTGTTAACATATGATATATTAGACATACTATAACTCTATTACCAGAGTCTAAATTTTAGATAGAAAAAAATAACAATTTCCAGACTAATGAACTWACACAATAGCAACTAGGTTAAATACTAGATGATATGTTACTTACTGAAGTGTCTGGTTGAGCATACTCAGTAGTTAGTCCAACTCTTACAAGGAGGTTCAATGGTTTGTCAATCATTTTGATTGGCTGCACATTATAYGCTGAAATACCTACAATCTCTGCAGTACAACATAAGATTAAAATCATTATCAAAAAATCAATRAAATTCACAAAATCATTTGTTTATACTGTAGAGACAAAGCTATCCTATGCACAAAATAATACCCCATGYGTACCTAAAAACTTGTCAGCAATATCTTTCCTCCTAATTCTGAGCAATGCAGATTCTAAATTCCCCACAGTWGCATTTTTTCCTTCTTGTTCTTTCCATGTTGTCAATAAACAGCTTGCTTTTTCAGCATTATGTTGATAATCTGCATCTATATTCTTTATCTTTGCCATTGAAATGTTAAGAATAGGACCAAGTTTTCTCCAAACATTTCCAACTTCTTCAAGTATGTCAATAATCTGACCATCTGTCACAATCATTTCTCTAAGATCTGAAAAGGTTTATAGAAAAGTACTCTGGTTCAAAAACAAAAACTTCCATAGTAAACATACTAAACTGCAATAGTGAGTGTCTGCCGTATTAGGGGTGATAGTCAGCAATTTATTTGGAGCAGGGATTTATTTGTATTAGATTAAAACTACACTTACATACAGGTATCATATTTCCTTTTATTATTAAGAAAATATTATGATACCCTGACTGGATTTTTACAAAATACCTATTTGCTGAGATCATGTTTTACTTTGTTCTACAACTGGTTTAGGTATCGGGWATTTTCTGCACTTTTTATTCAAAACTGATTATTTGAAATTTTTGCTTGACGTACCCCACCCCACTGCGTCAGTTCCGTGACAGCCGGAAGTTTAGTACAATGTAACTTATGTATTATTCACGATTTGAAGAAATTATGTAGACAAACCATTACAATATTAAAGAAAACACAGTCAGTATTAGCACGTACTTGCTTTACCTCGATAATCAAATATTATTTTCGGTACTGGTTAATATCAAAGCCAGCTTCTACAAAACTAAATAAATTTGTACGTGTACAGTCTTTTGAGTGATGAATTTATAAGCTTACACATTAGCGAGAAAACGTGAGTAGATATAGGAATGAGGAATAAATTACATTTTTACCTGTAACTAAGCTTACATCCCTTGGACTATCACCGATACCAGAGTCAAGAGGACTGGAATTATGAACTTGTAGACGCTGACATTTCTCACAGAACTGTGTTGTTGTTGACATATCGTCTAGGTCTTCTTTTGTTGCAACAGATACACGTTCTCCCACTTCATTTCCTACCGAGGTCGCTTCACCGTTGTCAGTAAGGTTTGATTCGTTCAATTTCTTTAGTTGCTGAGCCAAAATAATCGATGAATTGGAGCTTGTTGGAGCGCAGTCTTCAAACAGAGACTCGTCAACATCTGATCCACTATCAAAAAGATTTGAGAATTCCTCCTCGATGAATGAATCAATGTTTATTCCATCGGAAAATGTATCTTCAGCTTGATTCTCGTCTAAATCCATTGAGTTTTCACCAACACAAACTGGAATTATGCTATCAGCCAGTGCAGCCGCCATATTCGTATGAACTTGTCAATTCGATGATTTCAGGTCTCAAACCGTGTAAATTGCAGCCACCCACTCGCGAAAATGCTATAAAGAAAGTCACTTCGATTACAAAAGTTGCATTCAATCGGATGTAGCGATTACTAACTGGATTTTCCGATCTTTAGTAAACACGCTGCCAATAACTTTTAACTTCGGGTTGTGATTCAAGCACACGCGGTCAACGATTAACCTTGTGAGGTTGAGATGCACTTCCTACGAGTAGCTTTGTGAAAACGTGATACCCTTGTACGTCAAATAACTAACTCATCAAAAAAAAACATCGCCTTGTCTGTAGTAAATCAAATTAAGCCATCCCCMMAAAATRTTTGTTTTTAACTTTACTTCCAGTGTCTTCAGAGTTCAGCTGTCTACAAACTACACATCAAAACAATATTACCAACACTCACCAAAACATACGTCTTGATGTTACTATGCATCTCAGCTGGCAAAATATGAAGGTAAACTGTATATCGATGTTTAAGTGCTCTCTATATTCGCACCAACGTTCCACAAGGTCGCCTATCCAAACCAAGATGCGCCTCGTCGTTTAGTCAGTGCTATTTATAGATCGATGTACGTGCCGGRACAGATTTGGGACTAGAGGTCCCGGATGTATAAACATTTCTTCTTTCTCTTATTTTCTTTTTGATTTTCATTTGTAATTTTTTTAACARATCTTGTGAGAAATAGTCGCTTTTGAATTGTCTCAGTCTCATAACGAGTGACAACTCAAGGTTTTTTAAGATTTGTCATTAAACTCAGGCAAAATAGACATAGTGCATTGATGCACCTGTCAACCAATCAGAGAAAACGCGATCGGTCATAACCGGTAATCACGTACCTTGCCGCTATGGCGCCAAAACAGKCAATATGAAGGCTAAAATGCACACTGACAGGCCAAAATTTAACAAAATTTAACTGTTGCTGGTGTGATCAAATAAGCACAAAAGAAAACAATGTGTAGCGCGCAATGCCATTTTGTTTCATGTCCGCTGAAACAGTCTTTTTTTTCTTTTTCCATTGTCCAGAAAGAAAACATACGATTTTTTACTTGGGAGGGGTGTTGGGSAGGTGGTGTGGCCAGGGCTCATCTCACCAGAATTGAGGTCGGCTTGGCGTAGTGTTCGTATAAAGGTTACTAGTCAATGAGGCCTAATATACAGCTGGTAACCCAATGAACGTTGCCGGGTGCTGGAACTATGTAGATGTAGGGACGACACCGTTTGAGGACTATAACTTCCAGTCCTTCATGAATGCTTTGTAAAACAAATGTTATAACTGATAATAGTTTTCATATTTCATAAAGGAAAGAGAGCTCATCCCTTAGCAAATACTCGTTCAGACTGATCACGTGACTATTTTCAATCATCATTTAAGCTGCGTTTAAGCTGCATATTTGATTACCAGACCAATCAGCACATTCTAAGAAAACGGTTATCTCTTTAATGCTGTAATGGAATAACTGGTCTACGTCTTTAGAGTAAACCCCATTGTTGGCTTTGTTATAAGACTATGGTAAATGAAGCGCTCTGATTCTAAATAATGGGCGCATTCTAAGAAAATGGTTATCTCTAGCTATCTCTTTAATGCTGTAATGGAAAAACTGGTCTACTTCTTTAGGGTAAACCCCATTGTTGGCTTTGTTATAAGGCTATTGTAAGGAAGCGCTCTGATTGGTTGACAAGGTATTAAATTCCCCCACGACAACATTCCTATAGTGGACAGTGATATAGCTTATTTCCTGCAACCTTTGATAGTCAAGTCTTGACGAGACCGTGTCTGCTAGTTATGTGCTCTATAAGTTCTTTTTGTTTTAATCGAGCATCGATTGTTTTTCCATAAAATCGGTCAGGGTACGTTTTTGTACTGCGACACGCAAAAATTCCGCGACATAGCCCCTTAAAATGGCCGAGAAAGCTCCAACTCAAAGAGGGTCTTTTGCTTCATCRGATTCTGCAATTAGCAATGGTGAAGACTCTACTCAGGACGTACTAACGCTAGATTTTACTGATATGCAACTCCAAGGGAACCAAAAAGAAATGAGTAGTTTTCAATACAGGGAAAGAACTGTCCCTGTCGACAAACAAGGTAACTTGATATTCACAATCTGCTGCTAGAAATTCTCTGTCTTTTGCTAGAGTTATTGCATCTTTTTTGGTTTTATTAGTGCTTGTGGAATGTTTACCGATTCTTCTTACTGAAAACATATCGCATGATACCAACATTACATTGATTTACGACATCGTTGTGTTTTTGCATGTTTGCACTGTGTGGTTGACGTGATCTCTATATTTGAGGTCTTGTTTGCAGACACGGAAGTTAAAACGCAAATTAGCTTTACAGTACAGCTGAAATAGAATTGATATGTAAATAACTCATTAATTGACCTAATGATTCCGACAAATATCCTTAGATAGTAAAATTGATGGCAATTTCGCCATAACATTGGAATATTGCTATTTTGCCGGTTCGTTACTTACGAGTATCAAATAACAATCAGTTATTTCCGCATCCATCAGACGGTCTGTTGCGGTATTTATTTTTATGTCTTGCATGTAATAGTAATACTTGTTCAATATTCAATATTCTAGCGTTTGTTAGTACTGCAATACAGGCAATAATTCTTCTACCATCACTAATGGTCATATCTGTAAATTTGAATATAATAGCCAGTAATTCTGAAGTATTATGACGATTAGAAATTAAGAACCATAAGATAAGAATATTTCTGATCTTCAATATGCCGTTCGCAGCATGTTTACGTAAGACGATGCTCAGAAATAGTGGAAATTTGGATCCATTTATAATATCTCCTAAACTAGAACTCCAATGAATCGTATTTTCATATATATCATGATARATAATTGCTCTGATGGACATTTTCTTTAATATGAAGTCTGATCCCCACTGGCATGAAACAAAATGTTTGTTGTGACGTCATACGTAACTAAAAAAAATACTTCAATTTTAAAGAATTGACTGAGGGTTTTCCCCAAGCTCGTGATTCATTTTCAGATACCTATCCTTGAAAAACGTTCTTTTTTAGATTTATTATCTAGATATCTAAATCAAAGGATCACAGAAAACGAATGCCATAGAATTACCAGCGACGAAAGAGAGCGTTTGGGACCAGATTGGAAGAAATTGGGACGCGAACTGGAATTTCCTGAAGCGCTGATCATATCATTTTCTCAACATGAAAACAACGAAGAACGCGCACACGCTATGCTTGTTGCTTTTCGCCAACGACAAGCAAAACAAGCTACAAGAAAACGACTGATTGCTGCTCTGAATAAAATTGGTCGAAATGACCTCACAGAGAAATTACTTGGTAATTTTTAACTCWSTTTCTTCATAGTAAATYGMTGTAAAACGTTTCATTTCAATGCGCATTTCTTTTGAGATTTTTCGTAGCAGTGTGYTTGCCTTTCATTTAGATCCGGCACAAACTGTAAACTAGATTTATCGATTTCTTACTACATTTCTATTTCAGAAGGATACGAACAGAGCCAACAAAAGCAAATAGAGGGCTTGTACCATGAAAAGACAGTAAGTGATACGACATGGGTTACGTTTTGACAAGTTACATGATTTATTAGTAAATTCATTTYAAAATGTTTACCGGCACTTGTGTTACTTCAGTTAGGTGAGCTTATTGTGTGTATTAAAGACGGCCAAAGATTTGTCCTTTATCCGGTTGGTGGAACAGAGTTTGAACGTGATTTTGAGGTAATCATTTGAATTGGAGTCTCGCACGCGAATATCTGATTGTTTAAGAATTGTGTTGTTTGTCTATATTTTAGGCTATACAGAATTCTGCAAGTCACAATGTTAACTCTGCACTTTCACGAGCTCATCGCATTTTGACTACTGAAACGTTGACAAGCGAAGACGAAGTCGGCAAACAAAACGTAAATATATATGATGGTTAAATAATGAGTGATTTCAGATAATCTAAATACAAAAAATGGCATAATTACTAACAAAACGTTGGAATTGACATTTTGATGTTGTTGTAGAGAACCCAGTCAGAATCTATAAGGAGGCCTCCGCGAGAAATTGACAATACATGGGTGAGGATAAAGCTCGAAAAATCCACACATTTTGTAATATTTGTATCACTGTAAATTTGCTAACTTCGAATATTATGACGATTTTTATTACATCGATGCCTTTCCTACCTAGCCCGAGTAAGCGCTCTAAAGCATCGAGAATGAGCACAAATTATTATCTTCATCACTATTGTMAATATTGCCAAGATCAGTTCATTATGAACTATGATCAGAATCTTGATAACCTTTATATATGTTGATGATAGCTAATCTTGTTTCTATTCAGAGACCAAACTCAGCCATTGATCCATTATGCTCTGTCAATCACCAAGAGTCAACACTGGCTGAACACGATGACAGCTCCCCTCACCCTCCCCTATCCTCTCAAGATGGACAATAGTTTTAAAATAGATAGGTAAATACAAAWAATGAATGTGTGCTTATAGAAACAATTATTATGCAATAGTAATGTAGTTGCTGGTCAACTTAGCAGTATAAAAACAACACATGTGATTTCAAATATTTTAATCATTTGCAACGAGATTCTTTCAAATATTTACAAGAGGACTGGTTATTGTTCAAGTGTACTTGTAGAATTGTAGATCAACCCCACCAAATCTATGGTAACAACCATAAAGTCCCTTTATCATGAAGGGCTCCAGGTACCTGCCCTGAAACATGTACTACTTGGTTCAAYAATGTGTCATACACTAACGTATTATAATGTCCTGTATATGGACAAATTAAAAAATTAAAAAAAGATTAAAAAAATCTATTTTCTTACTACAATTTCTATTTSAACATCGCAAAAGTACAGTTTGTAATACTTTTAGCTGTATTTTTGAATATCTGTGCACTTTTTGTGTAGCATATTTTTATRAATATTATCTATGGCAAATGAATGATGGAATATGAACAAATGAAATAAAAAAATACATGACTTGTAACATGTGGTTCTGTCTTGATTCATGACAAAAATGATTTCACAAGGTTCTCATTGAGTTCATAAGTTAGATTAACATGCTGATAATGTGAAATATTTACAATTTATTTATAATTAATGCTTTATTAACGCTGTAAATTTGCTTTTATCAAAGTGTACCATTGGCAGAGAAAAAACAGTGGACTATTGCCTCAGTAACCAATAAATATTAATTGTACTTCTCTGACAGCCTTAAACAAAGAATACTGTATCTGGGTCAATTTCTGAAAAAGAATGATAAATAATTAGGTTTCAAAACAAAAGAACAGTGATGTTTATAACCAGTGTAGAGTTGGTCTTCATATTACTGGACAAGAATGCAATAATAGCCATCTTATAGTAAATGATAATAATCATGATCAGTATAATACCTGTTTTCCAGAGCACATCACTAACARTATTCAATTCTAGTGACCTTTGTTGAGCACATGTTGCATTCCCTGACTGCCTGTCATGAAAATGCTTCGAGACGCCTTTGATGTCATCATTACTGAAGCTCCTCTGGCGATGGTGAATGGATTTCTCTTTGTATAAAATTTCCATCACGCCTGGAGAAYGAGAGTCGTAAAATCTATTGGGWGTGCCAAAAGGGTTCTGTGTCACACCATTTTTTCTTATAATTTGTTGAAGATTTGAGTCACTTGAACTAGTTTTAAACATGGTAACACTTGTGTCGCACTGACCAGGAACATGTGACATCTTGTTGGAAATTGTTAGATCTTTCATAGCACTACACATTCCTCCATCATCATTGATATCATCAAGATCAAGATCCTCAGGGCCATAAAACAATGGTTTACTGGAATTCATAGTGGCAAGGGCTGATGGAAAGGTGTTGCTACGGGGATGAAGCTTTCCTGGTAAACTATCATCTTCTGGAGAAGGTTTAGAGGTGCTTGTCAGAGATGCTTTGACAGCTTCCCTGTTCTCTGATTTGGACTTCAGACGGTTCTTCTTTTCAGAGGATCGTTTTCTTTGAGGGAATATCTAAAATTGTAAAGCATACAAATTGGATATTCAAGAAGGTAGCAAACATTTAATTATTGTATAAACCTACAATATATAACTCCAGATAAAATGTAAATTATTGATGGAATGGACGGAAGGATGCGTGACATCTAAGAGAATAAATACCTTGGAACCAATCCTATTTGGCCAGTTAGGGCGTGGCATGTTTCCCTGAACATCAACTTTAGGCACATAAAATCGGGACTTTGACTTGTCAGAGAAGTGTCTCTGTTAACAAATATCAAATTACAGAACATAAGCAAGGTTAACATAGCAGTATTGCACATTAATATATATTTTCAATAATTTATAAACTTGTACCCCCAAGGGGGGTATTYCCCTGCAACTTGGGTGAGCGTGTGCYACTGGGACCTCAAACCCTGACCCTGTTCCAGAGTGAATTTGCTGAAAACTACACCCTGTTTCAAAGTAAAATCGCTGAAAACGATAGCCTGTTCCAGCACTAGCCTGCATTTAATTCCAGRATTAAACCCTGACCCTGTTCTAGAGAAAATTCGTTGAAATTGATACCCTGTTCCAGAGTAAAATCACTAAAAACAAAACCCAGTTCCAGAGTAAAATYGCTGAAAACGATACCCTGGTTGGTGSCATGTCCCCATATAGCGAATATAGGGGGCTTGTACCATATTACCTGGACTTTTTTGGCAGACTTCTTGCGTTCTTTTGGAGTCAGAGATTGCACAACTTTTCGTTTTCGTCCAAAATGATGCAGAATATTCAGTGTGCACTGAAAAAAAAGAACATGTCATCATCAAGATCACTATATTAGTTCCTAAAGAATGTTCAAAAAATTAGCAAGAAGTATATAAGAATTAAGAAAAAGGTGCACATACTTGCAAAGGATATTCAAACATGTTTGAGTCTGACTGTGAATCCATTTCATCTAGAAGTTCCATGCTACAACGCCTGGACAGTTTAGATATTTTTACTATTTCAGCATGGAATTTTTTGTGTTCTTCACACACACTGTAAGCCCTTTCTGCAAGGTCATAGATTCTATCAGTAGGTATTCCTGATATTGACAGCCTTCTGCTACCTTTTATCATGTTCRCAAGTTCATGATGAAGTAAAGACAAGTCTTTTTCTAACAATTCTCTCATGAGTGCTGTCTTCTCACAGTTTGGACATCTCAAGCGYTCCTCGCAAAATGTCATGTGCTTCACATGCAGCTTGTCCTGAAGGGTYTCTGTGATGTTTTTCAACCGTTCAACTGTTTCCTCTTTAAACTGTAAATCTTTGAGAAACTCATTTGTTTTACGAAGTGTTTTCTTCTTCTGTGTCAGCTGTTTGTTATTAATGATCTGGGTAATGAGAAGATGAACAAAAATGTATTAATATTTGTTAGCTCAACTTCGACAGAGAGGCATGTGCATTCCTTTAGCTTGAAGAGGAGACTGCTGGAGAAGACCAGAAATGCAAAAGATAAAGAGTAGACAGTTACTCCTTCGGCAAATAACACTATRCATTATATTAAAAGAAGGCAGTTACAATGCATACAACAAAAAGCATGTCACTCCTTCCTTCCCCAAACACCAACACTACCYTTATAAAATAAATGACATTATTGCACTCTCTATTCTATTTAAGCATTAATTCTAATCCACATACCAGTCTTGCTGCCCATCTGTAGACTTTTGGTTGCTCCTCTATTTCCTTTAGAAGATATTTTGTTCTTGTAATGTTGCTTGAGCAAAGATATATCTAAAAAAATTATTTTGCTTTAAAATATATGACTGTTTTAATATTGATAAATTGTGATATTTTGTCAATAGACTGTCAGTCTATTACTTGTGGTTTGAAGTTTAATTACCTCTTCATCATCTTCCAATCTCAATTGCCTTTCCACAGTTAAATCTTTGTGTTGTTCTGTTATGTTGTGAATAGGAGTTGTCATTGACTCACAGCGGATTTTCTTGGGCGACAAGAGAAGAATCATTTCACACTCCCTTGCCACGCCGTTTGGTAGATATCCCAGCAGTTTCTCTGCCACATTCTCTTTTCCAATATGATTCAAGCATTTGAAAATGTCAGTAATTGATGCCTTGCTACCATTTTCAATCTTCCATTTCATCAGCATTTGATACGATTTCTCACAAACTTTGCTGTAGTCTTCATTGATATTTTCAATGGAGCATTCTTTTTTAAGCAAATGCCGACCAACCTCCTTCCAGCAGCAGCCAAATTCTTCTGCTATTTCCACAAGCAATGCTTCCAAGCTCTCCTTGTTGAAGGCATCTAAGAGTAACGCAAGCATTTACACTGTAAAAGCACATTTTCAATTTTATTGACACAAATTGTCAAATCAAGCATTCCCAGTATTTCCCCAAATACTGTACACAAATTCTCTTTAAGGAGTCATGTAGATGTACAGTCTATCAATGACAAAAGAAATAAAATCACTAACCTATCTCATCACCACTACTSAAATTCTCTGTTGTTGCACTAGTACTATAAAGGGAAAGCTTGCTTTCTCTGGAAAAGTACCCTGACTCATTATACTTGCTTTGTGCCTTGAGAGGAAATGGCCCATCAGTAAGAATATTGTCCAGTGCTTCTGCTTGGCTACAAGAAAGAGGTTTCCTGGAACGGACACTTGTTACTAGACTTGACTGAGGGTTAAGTGAAGGAAGGGAGAGACCAACTTTGTTACTGTTACAGTCTCTAACTGTCTTAGAAGAGGAACCTGTTAATCATAAATAGACAAAAATAACATAGGTGAGGTTCTATAGAATCATGAAAAGCAATCAAAAACAATGGCATAAGGGTAGACAAACGTTTCCAACAYGAATTTTGTTCTTGTTGTTTAAGGCTTTCGTTCTGCCCCAAAAACAAGGATGAAAGGCTATGTAGATGTATAATTCAAAAGATTTTAGACTGAATCATTTGACAAGTGATGCAATCAAAATGGCAGTATGTAGAAATACTTATGCATATTTTCAAGTTATACAACATTATTGAAAATGACAGAAGATTTGAATATTCTGTCTTCCTGTTACTTCCAGACATTGAAATGTAACCTTGCAGGTCACGCGTGATTGGCTCAGTTGAATAGAATTTGACAGTTCTGCCTCTAATAATTACCATAACGAAAATAATTGAACCATTAAATCAAATAAGGAAAAATTAAGGAGGTATACTATCTTATAAACTAGTCTAGAAAATGACGCAATTAAGTAATGAATATAAGAAATATTGAAATATTTGAAAAATTGCAAAAAACAATTGCTATCGATTTAAAGAGACATGGTAACATAACATGACTTGTAAAAACACAAACACAAAATCCTCAAACAATGAGTCGTGATATCAAATAACGTAAATAAAAGATCAAATTTTTGGTAAAATAGGTGATAAATAATTAAATGAGAGCAGCCAAATGATGTAAAAACCTTGTTGTTGATTGTCGAGGACAAAAAAATTGCGCATCAAGCAAAATTCATATACAAACGATTTGGAAGGATTAACTCTAGAAAAAACACTTGTCTATTCAAATATAAGAATTATTCTTACCCGAATCTGCTAAAACACCTTGTTCCTTCGACCTAAAACAGGTTGCCATGAAGTCTTCAAAATCCTTCAAACTGCTTTCACAAGTTTGATCGTTTGTTTATAAAAACATGAACTAAAATATTCGCTTTTCGTCCATCGACGACCACCGTACTTGGTTGACAGTTGAGTCAACTAAGAGAGTTTCATAAAAAGCGGGCTTTAAAAGAAGTTTTGAAAGTACTTTGTGTTTAGAACCCGAACTCAAAYCAGATATAGTGGATATATCACACCTCAATCGCCGCTGCCCGATGATGCAATAGCTATAAATACCTATCGACCCAGTCCCCGATCCTATATCAAAATAAAAAAGAGATGCAAATGTATTTTAAAATGACTTTTATTTAAAAAAATAGATTGCATTACCATTGTATAAAAAAAAGACCACTTTTAAAAGTATTCAAAAAAAAWTTGAAAGACTATGGTCAACCGGCACTCTAAAGATCTCTCTTTCCGTATCAGTTTAAAGATCGAATCTTACAATACCGACCGCAAAACCGCTCAATTTATGGAGAATAAAGGGACAACACAAGGGAAGTTTTGGTTATATTACGATGGATTTCTATTTTTAAAAAGATTCAAAAGAATGTCTGGTTGACAATGGCCCTTAATGAAATAAGCATAAATGTATCTCAATTTGATAAATAG